CACTCACCTCCTGTCTCACACACACTCACCTCCTGTCTCACACACTGTCTCTGTCTCACCCTCTGACGTCCTCTGTCTGTCCCCCCGTCAGGAAACATCCTGCTGAACATCATCGTGCCGTCGTCCATGCCGTGCACTCGGGTCGGGAAGAACAACGTGATGGTGGTGTGCGTCCCCAACCCGCCCGTCGACGACAAGAACCCCAGCAGCCCCGTCCCCCTCCTCATCCGGGTCAAGACCGCCGAGGACGCCGACGAGCTCCACAAGACCCTGGAGGAGAAGAAAGGCTGAACCCTCCTCTTCCTCTTCCTCCTCCTCCTCTTCCTCCTCTTTTATCCTCCGGACTCATCGACCTCACCGCCGGTTTCACAAACACACCTGTACTTCCTGGTAAATCCCCTTCACTTGCTCACAATAAATTGGTCGTCATACTGTGAAATATTTCACTTTTAATCTCAGAAGCAGGTCGCCGTCGCTCTTCGTCTCGGCTACATTCCTCCTCTTCCTCCTCCTCCTCCTCCTCGTCCTCGTCCCGGTCCGACGCCGCTGCTGCTGTTTTATTAGAGAAGCTGAACGATGTGTCATCAGCCAGTGTTTGATTTTACTGTTTTAATTTGGTGGTGTGACTGAAAGACGAATGAATTCTTGTTGTGCGACGCCGCTCAGTCTTTTTTTGGGGGAAACCTCCAAATAAAAGTCCAGTCGATTTGGTTTTACAAATTAAATCCTCGCAGTCAGTTAATTGTTCAAACGATGGAGGTGTGTCTGATGTTTTTTTGTTTTTTTCTTGCTCTGGAAACTATTTATTGTGAGAGCAGGAGTCGTGCTCTCACTGATTTGAACCTGGTGTGAATGTTTCCCCTGAAGAGCGTCTGGAAACGGTGTTGGGGAGGGAAGCGTGAGACTGACCCGTTGTTTTATTTCCTGTAAACATGGACTCTGTTGTTTTCCAAGTGTCCTTTGTGTGGCCTTCGGTTCGGCCTTCGAGATGAGGCATGCTGTCATCGTCTGAGAACATTTGTAAAGACATTTATTGGGGAATAAAAGGAAACAAACCACCACGCCTGCTGCTTTTGAATTCATTTTTTAATTTGAGCTTTATTTAGGATTAAAGATTCACTGCTGAACTTAGAAATGGGTAAATTAGCTAAATGTCTCAGAATATTTCATGTTTTAAATCTGAGTTTAACACTAATTAATACCTCAGTACATTCACAAATAATTGGACACCTAATGTTGTAATTACAAGAAAAGAAGAATAACTTTATATTTTCTTGTAATTACAGTTTTCATCAACCTTCGCTAACCTGAGCTGCAGATGATTCGAGGTTATATCCAATCTTTCTTTCTCTGTATTAGTCTAATAAATATTAATGTTACTTAATGATAACCCTTCTTAAGTCCCGCCGCTTTTTGCTCTGTGCTCCAATCACAGTTGAGCAAGCGTTGTAAACTTCGTCCTGAGCATATCTAAGTACAGGAAAGGTGGAAGGACTATTAAATAAAGCAAAATTTATCTACATCAGATTTTAAAAATGGTTAGATAAAAATGTATATATTCACATCTTAAGTTAGCAACGCATATCTAAGTATTGTCATGAACTGTAATGTGGAGGAATTAAAAACAACAACACAGGCACAGTCAGTTTTTCTGGTAATGTGTATTTCAATAAATAAATACAGTAAAATGTACGTAGAGTCTGAAACAGAAGTGTATGAGTGAACATGCACATTAACTGTGTCCGTGTACAAAAGCCATGATGAGCGCGTTAAACTGACGTAAGAACAAAAAGGTTCCAACAAACCGGTTTCAAAAAGGTTCTAAAAGCGTTTTACAGTGCAAACTGTCTCGTCAAATGTTTCTCAGTTTAAAGCCGTCTGCTATTGATCAGCGTGGATACATTCAGCCGGAGGAACTACAAACTACATCAATAACACTGAGGAGACGATCGGCTCGTCCAACTGAAACAGGAAGTGCCCCGTGGAACGTTTCACCGGGAGGAAAAACACTGCGGACTGACTTTGATCGAGGATGGCTTCGTCTCTGAGTGCAAATCAATCACTGATAATAACTGATCAATAACAACAACAACAGCTGGCTGACTTCTCCTCAAACGTCGACTCGTGAAACACAGAAATCAGCGACTGTTTCAACAGTTTCCTCTGCAGATTATTGATGATCGATACTTGAAGACATTTATATAAACTGAACGAATAACTGGATCAATCGGACTAATCAATAATACATATAATTATTAGTTGCAATCCTCCTACTGTTCTGTGCTTTATGTAAATAGTACGGAGGTTATAAATGGTCCAGTTTTATTTTTCTTGGTCCATAAATTTAAAAATGTCAAATGTATTTACAATAATCTGCATTTTATTCTGAAATTTCTTTTAAATTGAATAAAATTTGGAAATCAGCGACAACCCCAATAATCAGTAAATAATTTAAGTAATTTACAGATTATTTTTTCAAGAAAACCCTTTTACAAGGTGTCTGAATATTGAAAAATCACAATTAAAGAAATGAAGCTTCAGATTTTTAGAAAAAAGTTAAAATTTTCAGAAAAATGTTGGAATTTTGTGATTTAAAAGTCAAATTTAATGAGTCATTATGCAAGTAAAAGTTATGGTTTTATTAATATTGTAAGTGCTTTCTCTTATACATTTCTACTCGTAAAATAATTTATAATTTAATGTCATTATGACTAACTTCATACATTTTACTACTGAAACATCAACATCAAAAGAATTTATAATATTGTAATTCAGGTTTGTTACATTTTTGCGTTAAAATAAGTTTTATTATTTAATTTTTTTTATAGTCTGAATTCTTACTGCGTTTTCTTGTGGTTATATTTTAGAGTTTATGATTTTCAGTCTCCAAAAGTGGTGAAATATGATCAAAGATAAAAAAAAAAGTCACAATTTAAGAGAAAGATGTTTTTTTTTAAAGTGATATATTAGAAGTTTCAAGTAAATGAGAAAAATTCGTTCTAAATTTTTGCTCGTAAAATTAGTTTTATTGTGATTATGAATTTTTTATTCTTAAATTGTGATTTTTTTTTTCTCTTTTACTATTTGAACATTTGAAAATCTAAAGAATTCATAATATTAGAATTCAGGTTCGACTTTATGAAAAAGTTTGTTACATTTTCGTGTAAAATGAGTTTTATTCTTCAATATTCTGAATTCTTACTGTAATTTTAAATATTTTCTTACGGTTATATTTGAGAATTAAGTCATAAACAAATAATTTTAAGTGTTAAATTAATATTAAAGTATTTTTTTAAGCAAACAAAACAGAAATTAGCTGATTAATCCTTTTTAAAGACTGCGGGAACTTGTTTTTGTTATTTCTGATCACATCGGCTGATTTCTGCCTCATGAAATCTCTGACCTACGGAAGCCTCGGCTGGTTGTTCGTTTAAATGAACATGAAGAAACATTAAAGTTACGTACAGTCAGAAAGATTTAAGGCTTCAGGAGCACAGAGGGAGAAAAACCAGACGAGTCACTGTAACAACAAACATCTTCAGCCAATCACGTCGCTTCCTTTTGGAACTTCCTCTTTTTTAATGAAGAGTTCCAGTTTTTATTTTTGGGGCTTTTTTTAAATTCCCTTTAAAATCATCTTCACGTTCAGCAGTTCTGTTTTTTTTTCAAGTCACTTCCAGTTTTGCGAGTCGCAGTAAAAAGTCAAAGCTGGATTATTTTGTGGTGAAAATCCGACACGGTGGAGCCGATGGGTCCGTCGGCTCTGGGTCGCGTCCGTCAGGAGTTCGTGTTTGGAATTCAAAATAATCCAGAGCGACCAAACGAACGTAAAAATAACAACTTTCAGAGTTTGTAACAGAAAAGATCGTCAGTACTTCAGCAGTCGGGACTGAACTGTGTCTGTAGTCCAAACTTCACTTTCTTTGAGCTCCTTTAAACGTATTTTACAGGATACGATTAATCTCTAATCTGTCGATCATTTTCCCCATTAATTAATTGTTTGGTCAGAAAATGGTAAAAAATGTCGATCAGTGTTTCTCGAAGCCCAATCTGACGTCCTCAAATGTCTCGTTTCTCAAAGATATTCAGTTTACGGAGGACAAAAGAAAGCAGAAAATATTCACGTTGAGAAGCTGAAATCTCTTTTGACTTTTTTTTTCTTCAAAAAAGACTTAAAACTATTAATCTATCAAAATAGTTGATAATTTATTTACTAGTTGGAAACTAATTGACCCTTCTTAAGTCGTTTCCCGCCCTCTACGAGACGGGAGGAGCTAAAATAACAATAACGTCTCTCGAGCTCCGTTTGTTACTTCCTGTTGGTTTCTGTGGTTATTTATTTGAATCAGTGGTTAAACATCCAGCTACAACTGATACAATCAGCTGATTTAGTCGATGGACAGGAACTAATCAATCATTTGAGTTCAATTGGAGTTTGAATATTTGCTTGTACTTAAACTTGTAGCTCGAAATATTAGAGACTAAAGTGAGAAAAGGTTCATTTATGAGGATAAAATAGTGCTTTTTACTACTATTTTGGTTTATTATCGATCAGCTTCCTTTGAAGTAATCAATATTGTACCTAATTGTGTGTGAAATGTTCATTAAACACTGACTTTCATTAGTTAATCAGAGCACAAAGAATCAGCTGATTATCACAAAAACACTGAAGTAGCTGCTGGTTTGTTCTCGCGTGTGCTTCTCTTCGTTGGTACTGAAGCACTTCTGGAACAGTTTTTAATCAACAAGAAAATCCCGTTCTGACACTTCAGAGATAAAACGAGTAATTGATGAAAATATCTCTGAATAAAAAGAACTGGTCGTCCACTTCCTGTTAGTCAATGTCTCAATAAACGAGATGATTTGACCGGCTGCTGTTAAGAGTGAAGCTGTCTACGTTTACGGTTTCCTCTCGTAAAAAACAAACACTTTTCACCTCCCGTTAACTCTTCGTGTCGTAGTAAATATCTAAAAAAAAAGAAACAGGAAATAAAGTCCACGACGAGCCGAGCAGAACGTGTGGTTGAAAGCAGAACCTTCGGAGGCGTCTCAGTGAGTAAAGCAGCAGGATATTTACAAGAAAGCACACATTCTTCACTTCCTGGTCAGAGTTCAGCCAATGCCTTCTCACACTGAGGTCATGTGATCCCGACGCCGGGCCCGTTCCCGCGGAGATGACCACTCGGACACAAGCGGGGAACTGAAAAGAAGAAGAAGAGGCACTTCTCGAATGGCTGGTTTTTGTTTGTCCCTCTGACGGACTCGCGTCCAGCTGGAGCAGGTGTTTGGTTGTCAGTCTCGGTTCCGGACACCGGGGGGCGCCGCTGTCGTCTCAGTGGCCTGATGCAGGAGGCACTTGGTAGTGATGCTCTGAGGGGGAGTCCAGCTCTGCTATGTCATCAGGATGGGCTTCTGCCTCACCTCCAGGATGTCTGACGGAAAAAAGAAAAGTCTGTTCAGGAACATGAAACCACGGAGAGAATCTGTCTCCAACTCTTCATCACAGGTTAGTTAGAGTGTCACTGATGGTGGAAATAAAAACAGATGTTTTTTGAATGGAGTTTGGTGTGACAGTGTGGAGCAGAGGGGATTTAAACCTTAATGACTCACATAAACTGACCTACCTGCTAATAATGAACCTTTTAAACAGCAGAAAGTAACAGGACGTGGAGATAAAACCCTCCTGTTATCGTCTTCTTCGGTAAAAGGTCGACAAATAGTGGTTCCGCTTCGCCACAGCGATGCAATTAGTGTGTTAGTTAATTAGTGATTTAACTAAATATTATGTTATATGAGCGTTATAATATAGTAGGTATAACAGGACTAACTAATCCAGCTCTCTTTCATCTGAAATCTCTTTTGGTTGAATCAACAAAAACAAAAACAGTATGTAATTAACTTCTTCCTGTGGAGGATCGTTTGCAGCTTCAAGCAGATCAAACGTGATGTAACACTAACAGCTGATGAATGGAAGAGCTGCAGGCTTGTTTTTAAAGGAGATAAGAGGAAGCGTGTGTGTGTGTGACCTCCGACCTGCGCAGATGCGGTGCAGCGGCAGGGTGACGTAGGTCAGGTGGGAGTAGAGCAGGAAGTAATCTTCGGTCCGGTTGAGTTTGAGCCAGGAGCCGACCAGAGAGCGGCCGGTCCCCGACAGAGAGCGAGAGCGGAGGTTGGTGGCGGTGTGAAGATCTGAAACACCACACAGGTTCATTATCACATTATTATTGATTATTGATCTATAAAGATCCCCTCCAGGATTTAAGACACACATACAAACAGTCTGCTTGGAACA